GCAAAATGCGAAAACGAAATTAATAGCCTTTCAGGGTAGCCCTTTGGGCGAATAAATAAATAAAAGAAAAAAAGATGTGGTTTTTTTTTTTTTTTTTTTTTTTTAAACTTTGGGAAGTTTAGGTAGGTGAATTTCATCAATTAGATTACAAATCTTCTTATTCTAAAAAGGTAGTACATGGTATGATTAATAGCAAGACGGCATGGTTTTGCAGTGTCTAGAAAAACACCTTTCATAGCAGCCTAAAAAGAACCCTTTCTAAAAAATGACATGAAAGTATTACCACAATTGCCATTACGTTTATATAGTTGCGAGGTCAGGTTATTGACGTCAATGCCTAAGAGAAACAACGTCATACTTTTGCGGTCAAAACATTGAGAGGGCGGGAATTTTCAACCTGATGCGGGAAATCCCTGTCTGTGTCCCGCTTTTTTCACGGAACTCCGGCTCTACAACACTTTGAAAATGCCTCGAAGGAATCAGAGTTGCTCAGTTGATCAAAGACTGAAATCTTTGATTTTATTGCTTTTAATATCTACTGTAATTTTGTTACCAGATTGGAAAGAATACTCATCAATTTCATTTCTAGAGCCCGATATTTAGAATAAATTGTAAATATAACGTTCAGAAGCAATCGTCGAGTAATGACTCTGAATTTCAAATTTAATTATTTTTAATTTCTGTGGCTTCTATGTCAAGAAATCTGGAAAAAAAGTGTGGTAATAAATAACAGTGCTTTTTTTTTTCCCCCATTGAAACATATTGTTTCACATATTAATTCCGTTCCATTAGTAAATGTGTAAGGTTTATCTTATTTAGCACATATTAGCTCATGTTAAAATCTAATCTATGCTCTTCTTACTGCTTCGTCTATTTCCATCAGAATATGCTAATGAGAGAAGCTTTACACCGAATAAGAATATAAGTTAAGACGGTAAACAATTGGCAGTTATCTTAAAGCAAACTCTTCTGTTTTGCAGACGAAGTGAGTAGATATCTCTGACCTGGTGAGTTTCTTATTTAGCTGTCGCTTAGCAGGTAATTTACTCGTGAAACATAGCGAGCCACGTGCTAGAACAAAACTTAATATGTGACTGTAAATAACATGAACCTGCATGTTATCTCTTATTGCCCTGCGAGAAGCAGGAGTAAATTTGTGTTCGTTAGTTTTAGTTTTTACTCAAAATTGAAAGCATCATTGAATATTAGTTGTTTATTTTACGCAACACTATGTGTTCCTTAGTTTTAGCTTTTACTCAAAATTGAAAGCATCATTGAATATTAGTTGTTTATTTTACGCAACTCTATGTGTTCCTTCTAGACTCTGAGTTTGGAAAAGAGGTTAGGGTGTAAAGTCATTAGGTTTTTCTAAGCTGTAAACATGAAAAATTTGCAATGCCCTCGCCGGAATTCGAACACCAAAGTACTAACCGGGAGTGTTTTCAAATTTCACCACGAAGGCACGGGGTAAGGAGGAAGAAAATACGTTAAAAGTTTACATCATTTTATTACGGCAAAGCGCAGAGTCTCCTAAAGGAAGAGATGCTTTCATGGAGCACTTTTTACGGGAAAATGGCTCATATTCACGTTGCACATATAGGAAAACCACGAAAATCTGTACTGTAGCTACCCCGTTAGCCAGGGTTCAAACCCAGATCGAACTACCAATATTAACCAGGGTTCAAACCCAGATCGAACTACCAATATTAACCAGCCTTAATTACACAGCCACTTAGATAATCAAAAATTCAGATAATTGGGATTTTTCCCGATGAAAGGGTCTACGTACACTTTAATTAATTAATGTACCTACTGTATGTTGAAAATGGGAGGGAAAAATTATTTTTAAAGAAAAGAGATTTTAATTAATTAAAATGAAAAGTCAGAACTTTTACGTATATGTTATATAGCGTATTGCACAGTATTTACAAGTGCTTCTGAATACTGCACAGTATTTATAAGTCACTGCTTGCTGAATACCTCAGTTAAATTAAGCTTAAAATTTATTAGCCAGTGGCTACTTGCTTTAAAGGATGAACAACGAAGCTTTTGAGCTAAGATCTTAGCTTTTTCACAAAGAATCGGACCCGAAATCGGACCCGAAATTGGGTTTCCCATAGAACGTTGTTGGAAAAGCGACTTGAAAACGAAATCTTTTAAATTTTTGTTTGTTGCTGCTTTCGTTGATTTTCTTGAAGAACTTCCATCTTCGTTTTCAAGCAGTCACACGAAATTTAAAAGTGTAGATTTGCTCTTTTTAATGTCTGAAATCGTTGATTACCCAACACTACGTTTCTGCCTTAATTTTTTTCTTAATTCTGAAAGCGATTCGGATAGTCGGGCTTCGGATAATTGGAGTGGTACTGTAGAATAATAACCCTTTGTTAGCCGCTCAGATCGGAAAGTGGTTAGTGACTGTCGCACCGAAGGGCCTGGGTTCGAATCCCGGTGAAGGCATGGATGTAAACTGTTTGTCCGTTCACAGGAGGTAACGGTGGCCGCCCATTAGGTTCCTCCATAATAAAATGACCATCTTCTTATAGTGGCCAAAGCCTAAAATGTCTAGTGTTCGCCATTAAAAAAATAAATAACCTTTCATTAAATCACAAAATTTAAAAACGTAGTTTACATACGCAAAATTGCCTTTCTCCAACCAATCTGATAATCAGCCAAGACCTTGAGAAGTATAATTTTCTTCCGGTGAATGTAAAACTTATCATCAGAAGCCTGAAAGAAACGCATTCAAGGATGAATAATACCCTCTTGCGCATGTGTTTATTCCATTGCTTAATGTTTAACACAATAAGGCAATATTTTCATGACGTAACTCGTATTTAATAATAGAAAACACGAATTCAAAAACCTCTCAGGCGTGAGAGGTCTATAAGTAGCAGTTCTCATCCTTTTTAATGTATTGTTTCACATAAAGTGCTTCTTCATTCAAGTCTTACTTGTTACTGCATTAGATTACAAAGGAAAAGAAACAAATTTCAATTCTTAAAGTCTAACAGAGCGTGATAATTATGTTTAAAATTAGCAGAATGCATTTCGGTATTTTTTAACGTCTTATTTTAGAATGCAAGCAAGAAATACAGTACAATCCATGCAAGCAAGGAGTTTGCTGCTGCAGTCTTAAAGAATTGTTTTCCTTTGTAAGATATGAAATAGTTCTGTATTTGTGTCATGTACAAAACAAAATGCTCTTTGAATCTTTACACAGAATTTATAAACACACAATGCAATTACAAAATATTAAAAGTGTAAAACTTAGGATAATTGAATTGAATTAAAAGAGTAAATTAAATAAATTCAATTTAATGGCAAGTTACAAAGTAATTTAAATTTTAAATTATTGAAATAGTAGATCAAAAATTTAAAAAATGTTTACCAGAAGTGTATCGAGCCAAAACTTTTAAGATGACATGATACAGAAACTAATTGATTATTAGTTTCAAATTAGTAATTTACACAGTTTTTTACTTTATTAAGCGATAAAAAAAGATGCCTTTAAAAAATATTTAACCCGAAACTTTTTTTAGTCCAAAAGGGCTTTGTCCCTGAAGAACTATTGTTTTCGTTTTGCGATTTTGCGTTAGTTCACTATAAATGTCCGTTTCACTTTCCAAACCGTTGCCACAAAATGTTAGAGTCCTGCATTATATTTGAAGAAATTAAATAATGAAAAATCTGCATAAATGTATGTCTATTTCTCGCATTGTGATAAAACAATGGTACATAGAGCCATCGAATTTTGAATGACGTAATCCTACTGCGAATATGGGCATGTGGAAGCTCAAATTTGAATTTTGTTTTACTATCGATTTCAGATTTTGTAACTTTAACGAATTTTTGATTAACAATCTCAAGGATTTCAAAGCGAGCCATGGCAACGTTGTACAGAGAAAACATTTTTATCTCCAGCGCGCGAGACTCTGCATAGTAAATTCTAAAGATATGCTCAATTTAAAACGATTTTGCGATATTGCTGTTGAGCTGAATTTTATGGTTTAAGTGCGAAGAACGTGATATTTAATAAATAAAGGTAACCTACAAAATGTTTTAAAATCTGAAACATTTCAGTTTTTTTTTTTTTTTTTTTAATCTCTTTGGACTCTTTGGAGAGGAGACACACAGAGTCCAGTTAGCATCTAAGTTAAATCCTTGATTATACTACAAAGGATTTGTAATAAAATTTTCTTTCATAACGGATAATCATAAATTAAGGCCCCATAGAAAGTAATTAAAAATCAATTAAGTAGTAAAAGGTTTTCTTTGTATTTTAAGCTTTTATCTTTTACGCATATCGCTTCAGACAGAATTTTTATTTTTAATAATCTATTACAAAAATTAATTTATAAATAATTTAAAAAATTTAATTATTAATAAATCAAGAGTAATAAATTTTTAATTAAATAATTAAAAGCTTCCGTAGAATGGTATGCTGATTTATTACGGTATCAAAGATACTGTACAAGATGTGAATTATAAAATATATTCTGAAAATATAAAAAATATATTCAGTGTTCGTATAATTTATTTATATTTAGGAGATTGTGCAGAAACTTTCAATTATGAAATATATTTTGAACATAAATGTTTTAGCGCTCGCATAGCGCTCATTTACTTATGTTTACAACTCTATACCACCTTCATTAAAGGGAGAAATCTTTTTATTAAAGAATCTTTAAACAAATGTTGTTTTGAAATAATATTTTTTACTAGGACGAGAAAGTCAGCGTCCTGAAGGACAGACTTACACTATTTTCTTTATTAATTCATATATAATAGAAGCTATGAAATCTCAGTTTCCGAAAGCTTATTTATTGTTAATGGACTAAAAATAAATATTCCTACCAAAGGACAAATGTGAATTGGACTGAGTAGGTCACACTTAGGAAGACGTGTGAGGTAATTACCATCGGCATTGAAAACCTCATAATCGTGACCACTGAGATCGCGGTGCAGTTGAGGAGCAGAGCTTGAATTCCAACTTTCACCCGTGGCGCCCCCTGCTTTTTCTTCGGTCAAGCGAGAAACCAATGGACCTGCATACGAAAAATGGAATGCGGAGAGAGTTCAGTGAAATGTAGATACCGAGTGACTTTTTAAATCATTTTTCAAATAGATTTCGTCGTAAAAATTGCAGAATATTTTTTTTAAAAATGACGCCAACGGTACATAATACGAAGAGTTCTATCTGTGAGACATTAAAAGATTTCATTGTATTAGTCGGAAAAATTGTGTTAGCATTTTTACAATCTACATATCGCTGCATAGTTCCTAACTCGAAACAATCCCTGAAAAACGAAATCGTTTTAATCACGGGAGCAGGAAAAGGATTGGGCAAGGAATTGGCTCTGAAATTTGCAGAACAAGAAGCTTTGGTCGTGCTGTGGGATATTGATGAGGTATGTAATGAAATATTATTATTAGATTTTTATTACAGAACATGGCAATAGTTTCAAGTTGTTCTTGAGATTATTTTCATTCAGTAGATAATGACTGGTGGAACATAATTATTAAATTTCTGTTGTAGTATATGGCAAAAGTTTCGTGCTGTTAAGATTATTTTTAGCCAGTAGATAGTGAGCATTCGCACATGCGGTGAAACATTATTATTAGATTTCTATTACGGTATATGGCAACAGTCAATAGATAATGAAAATTCGCACTTTGAGAATCCATCGGTTAAATGCTGTCAAAAATGAAAAAAATAAATTCGGCCTTATTAAATTTAATTATAATTTATATTAAGGAAGCATATTATTTACGAATTTATATTATTCACAAATAAACCGAATTCTGAGTACCATTCTATTTCACGACTTTAGTAACTTTCGAATTTAAGTTAAAGCCTCACATAAAAGAAATTTTTCATCAAAACATACAAATAACGATAAGCAGCTTTACTTTATAATACAAATATTTTTTTCATATAGAATTATAGAATCTGAAAGTATGTTACGTTTCTGGTTTATTACTTATTAATTTACTTTTTTCAAAACTAGAGAGATTGCAGATATGCAGGTGAAGTAAGTATCTTATGGCTTTTTTTAATCTCCTTCTCGTTAGGCAGTTAAAAAGAAGATAATTTTATAGCGGCATAAAAATTGTTTCTTGAAAAAGCAATTTTATTTTTTAAGCCCTATCATTTCACAGCAAAACGGCCCTGTTGATCAATATTGTAGTTAACTTGGAACAGACATAATTTTTTTTCAGATATTCTATGAATTCGATCACATTACATTATAGATTGGTTTGTTTTACTTGATTATGGCAAAGCATTCGAGGGCTATCTGGCTCAGAGGAGAGATGTCTTCGTGGAGGACATTCTCAGGAAAACTTGCTCTTATATACATTAAACATGGAGAAGACCACAAATCTTTCATGTAGCCAGCCCGTTTGCTAGAATTCGAAACCCTGACCAAACTACCAGCGTTCAGCGGCTTTTACCGCCCGGCCGCTTGGGGACCTTATTCTTTCACTAGTCAGAAGTATATATTTGAGTGGTTCCTCGTTGCGCAGAGTTCTATAATAAAATTCAGTTATTCAAAAGCATAGCAATCCTATCTGTCTCTACCTAAACTGTACAAAATAAGTTTCAAATTCAGGTTATTTCTCGGGACTAACATTTTCCCTCAGTTTGCAAGTAGGTAACTAAAATACGATGAAGCTTTTTTTTTTTGATGAATTATTAAATTCAATTCAACAGCAAAATCCCAAAATATTTAAAAACAGCATATCTTTAGTACAATTTCCGATAGAAAGTGTCGCGCGCTGGATATAAAGAGGTTTTTATTCCGTATAATGTTGCCACTGCTCGCTTTCAAATCGTTGAGTTTGTTTATCAAAACTTCATTATAAAGTTTTACAGAATATGAAATATAAAATTGGAAATTCAAAATTTGGGCTTCCAGGGTGTCATATACATTCGGGCTGTCATGTTTGTAGTGGATTAACAAGTTGCAATAAAATATAACCCTCAAACTGTTAGAAAACTCAATAAAACGCGTGGATACAACGGGTAAAAAGGAAATTCTTTGTCAACAAGAAGACAAGTAAATTCGCTGACGTTCGCAAAATCTATGGTAAGCGAAGATTTATCATCGTAAAACCCTGTTATACGTATTTTCAGATGAGTCACCCTTAGAATACCACATCTGAGAGTGACTTGCAAGAGCGCAATTAAATAATGGAACGAACAATTTTCGCTAGTTTTGTTCTCTAAGGTGACAACTTTTGCAATAGTATACAAAATCGTCTGGAATCGCAGATTCCAGTCTTAAGAACATTTTACTGTACTATATCAAGGCGAAATTTATTTCGCAGTTTAAACGTGAATGCGTGTCAATTATTTACTAGATTAATCTTTAATTTCAGGGAAAAAAAATCAAAGCCTAGATATAGATTTAAATCAAGAGAAAATTCAAATTAGATCGAAGATGATTTTTAAAGTTTATTTATTTTGAGGGGGACCGATACAGTATCATTCGAAATGCACGGTATTTCTGTAAAACAAACAACAGTCTAACACAGAATTTTACCTTAATTTGAATTTTAAATTAGTGCATTCCTTTTCTGAATGCAAAGACACTGATATTTTAAATTAAATAGCTTTCGAATTATTTTGCAAGAAGCTTACATTCTACACCATGCAAATAACATATTAAATTTGATTAATTTCCGCAAAATTCAGATTGTGGAAAACGTGAATTTTTTCAATGAACGAAGAAATAAATTAATATGTTAATGAAATAGAATGAATAAAAATAAACAGTAGAAACTGTTTAAAAAAAAAAAAATAGAGAGAGAGAGAGAAAGGAAAAATATGGAAGAGTTCAGATTTTAACGGTTCCTCAGAAGGGTTTGTTAAGATTTTTAGCGCTAGTTCGTAGTCTACCAGTCTGCTGTCGCATTCACTCCTGCTAAACTATTCTTTTTGTCTTTTCAACTTTGTTATTATTTATAATCGTCTTGGCACTTATTCCAAGTACAATTCAACAGCAAAATTACAAAAATTTTAAAAGCAGCACATGTTTAGTATTTCCGATGCAGTGTTAAGTGTCAGCATACATTTTTCTATTTTTTTCTTTTTCAAATGTTGATTATTTTGTAACACATCAGTTCATCATATCAATGTTCAGTTTTATAAGTAAGATGGCTTGCACCACTTTTCTTTTGCCGTTTTATTATTAACATTTCGGGTATTAAATTTATGAAGCAAATATCATGTTCTTCGCGTTTGCACTACATTAAGTTCAATTCAACAGCATATCTTTAGTAGAATTTACGATAGAAAGTCTCGCGCGTTAGTTCTAAGAGGTTTTATTCCGTATCGTGTTGCCACTGCTCGCTTTCAAATCGTTGAGTTTGTTTATCAAAACTTTATTAAAGTTTTACAAAATATGAAATAAAAAATCCAGGCTGTCATATGCATTCGGGCTATGATATTTATAGTGGATTAACAAGTTGAAATAACAGATAACCCTCAAACTGTTAGAAAACTCAGAACGCATGGATACAACGGGCGATCAGTAAAAAGGAAATTCTCCGTCAGCAAGAAGTAAATTCGGCTGACGTTCGCAAAATCTATGGTAAGCAAAGATTTATCACATGAAACTCCTGTTACATTTTCAGATGAGTCACAATTTAATACATTTAGGCCCGATAGACGAATTGCTGTGCGAAAATCGAATAAATTGATTTCGAAGAACTTATTATCTACTTTTAAGCATGAAAATAGAGGCTTTAGGGATGTTTCTCGGCCTCTGGGATGGAAAATATATATTTATGGAAAATAATATGGATTAATATATAGATATTTTGGTACTTTTCCGTTTCGCCAGCGCAAATCTCGCCAAGCAGACTTTGTTTCGACAACATACAGTATACACATAAAAAATTTTAACAAATGTTAGTTCTAAGAATTTTTTACTTTGAAACATTTTAATATGGTTTAAAATTTTGTAAAAAGCCAAAAAATAAAGACAATAAATTTGTAAAAAGACATTAATTTAAGAATTTATTAAGTTATCATGGTTCAACATCCTGATTCACCAGTTCGTATTACGTGACCCCAAGTGATCTCATCTCACGTATTAAATGTATAAATTTTGTAATATTCTGTGTAATTGTATACATTGTACATAGAATATTTGTAATTGTACGTAGAATATTTGTAAATATTTTATGTAATTGTATGCCAGTATTGAAAGAAACAATCAATCTGGTAAGAAATGGCTGCGCTTATTTTGAAAATGAGGCGTAAAAGGTTACCAGCGAAGATACTCCATTTGGCTTCAGTTGTACCATTATTGGCGACTTTATCGTTTGCGCCGGCAAAACGGTAAAGTACCGATATTTTTAATGAAAACTTAAAAGCATATTCAAGAAAACTTGAAATGCAAAATACAGTCAAGTTCTGCCAGGATAATGATTCTAAACCTACAGTCCTAAATCTTCGCTTGTGATTATAACACAACTATCTTGAAGTTATCGAAATTTCTCCATATTTTGCAGATTTAAATTCTATCTAATATGTACGGAGTGAATTAGTGAAAGAGCAAAGAGACATGACATTTCTTCGAATACGAAATTGAACATTTTTACACAAAAAAAGTTAGTTGTATCCACGCCAAGGTCTAATTTTAGTTAAATGATTTCCAAAAAAAACATCTTGTGTTTGTATCAAATGTAAACTATTTATTCAAAGCGCCCGAATACTTATGCGAGTTCATTTTGAGAATTTTTTTAATAATATGTTTTAACCTAAAGCGCTTTCAATGATTTTTTTTTTTTTTTTCCCCTGAAAACTAACAGGTTTCAAGAAAGGTGATCGACCGTATACGTGAGGAGGGGACAACCGTTATTTCGCTAGTATTTAGTAACTGATATTTCAAACAGTTCTGTAATTTGCCTTTATTTATTTTTTAAACTTAACAAGTTACATGATAATAATATATTAAAGTTTATAAATATTTAAACATATAATACTGTTGCGAGCGTACGGGTTCGTTACGAAATGAATGCACAAGTCCGAATGAAAAATGAACAAATTTATTATTATCACAACAAATAATGCTTAAATTTCCTCAGATATTCGTGCAATATTACAAAATCTCACAGTAGTTATCTTTTAACTACTCAAGTGTTCAAAAGAACTTAATTCAAAACAGCTAAAGAAAGCTAATCCGCGAATTCGCTAGTCAACAAGAGCAGTTTTCTAAATAAACTCTTAAAACAACAACTAACTAACTAACTAACTACAATAATAACTAACATTAGCTATTTAAATACGAAATCCGTAACAATACTTTACGAAGGCATTCAATACTTGAACCTGCAAAACACTTCTACTTCTAAAACCGCATGCCACAACACAGTTTCAGTAAATATTCATGAACGGTGA